GATCTACTCATTTGATGAGCTTAACTCTAAGCCTTGAGAAACTTAAACTAGGATCATCCATGGCGTGTGGTATGACCCCTTTCTGCGATCCTTCCTCTAAACCTATGGCGTTTAGTGGAAAGATGGATCAAAGAACATTAAGCAAAGATCTCAAATGGTGGCTTAACTAACCCCTAATACAACCATGACGTTTGGGAAAGGGAAGTTAGCCTCTTGGATTCAGTTTTTGGGGATTTCTGAATCCTGTCAAGGTAAAGAGATCCATAGGATCATAAAGATCTTTCCCAAGACTCTTTAAGCACTAAGAGCCCGAATCCAAGAAGAGAAGAGATTAAAAACAAGAAAAGACCCAAGCTTTAAACCCTTAAACCCCTTAAATCACCTCAACCTTAAACCCAAAGAAATCTACTCACTACACATAGCTAAAACACACGAAAATATAAGTAATGAAATGCTAAACATGATTAATAGATAAAAAAAATGCTTAATATTAACCAAGATTCAAAAGTTTAAAACAAGAAAAGCTTAAAGGTTTTACAATGGCGGAAAATTGCCTAAGAGAAAGCAGAAAAAGATAAGGTAAAGTGTGTTTAATGAAAGTGATGTTCGCCCTTTGTCCAAAATAGTCAAACAGCCCTAATGGTCCCCTCACTACACTCCAAAAATGAGCTAGCCGGATAAGGTCCTAGAGATCGACTTGGGTCACTCGATCTCTAGGTCGATCTTCTTCATGGATTGTCCCCTTTTGCTCGATCTTTGAGTCGATCCTTGGATGATCGGGTTGTGGTCTCGATCTGGCTCTCGTTCTGTATGGCGTAATTCACGTCCGTACTCACGATCGATCTCCTCACTCGATTTCATCCTTGATCCCTTCCTTGAAACGATCTGGGCTTAGTCGATCTTCTGGTCGATCTCATCTAGATCGACCTGCCTTGCTGGATCTTGGGTCCTTTGCATGCATGGCTGAGTTCTCCAAGTGTCCACAAGCTTCCTCTCGATCCTATGCACGTCCACGCAACCTCCATAACTCCAGTGTGTCCTAAACAACCTGAATATGATGCAAAAATGCAGAAACATGCAAATGCTAATGCAATGTGCACTTAGGACCTAGAATGAGACAAATAGTGCAAACTAGCCTAATATAAGAGATAAATGCATGAAAACTAACCTTAAATGCATGCTAAATATGCAAAATATGCAAGTATATCAGTCCCCTCATATACTGAGTCAGAACCAGCCTCCTCCCCGTCATTAGATTCATAGAAAAGCCTCCTTAGGACAGCAAGTGATCTTCTCTCACTTGGGTTCACATATGTTTGCTGATCATAATCAATATTACTCTCGCTCTCCTCAGAAGGCGCCATGCCTTTCCTTTTATCACTAGGTGAAAATTGTGTGTTCTAGAAGCTGTATTGTCGGCTCTCCTTCTCAGATGTTAATTATGGTGGCGCGGCGGAGCACTGTGTTGATGGGCCTATTTCCATTGCTCCGCACGTGAGGCCTCTTTTTTTGCCGGCAACATCAGAGGCGTGTCGAAGATAGGAGATAGAAAAGTCAAGCCACTCCTTGTCAGGCTCCGAATCGCAGGCGTTCCTTTTGCGGTGTAAAACAAGGGTTGTGGTTACCTGCTGATTACTTTGTCTGAAAGTGATTTTCACTCCATCGACAAATTGGATAACTGTACGTATAGGTTTACCTCCTCGATAGATCTCCTCATCTCCAGAAAGACTTCTACCTCCAGGTCGTCCGTTATGTATTGCGGGTCTGATCCATCTCCTTCGTCAATGTCCAACCATTGTGGGTACTGGTAAGAGAGTTTGACACAGATGTTTAGTGCCGTCAAATGTAATTTCTCTTTAACTTCTCTCAATAGCTCCGAGTGTGTCTTCCCAGTCTGCAGTTGAAGGAAACCCGATCCATCAGATGGAAACATTTCAAAGATCCACCTACTACTAGAATTCCGAACCCATGTTCCACACATAACAAGAACCGTGTTTTGATCTCCTATCTTGGAAAAAAATACAGCTTCATCTGGATGTTGACTATATATGGCCATCAGTGGTATTGAAAAATTTACAAGAAAAGCAACTCTACAATCTTAACTAATATATACATATATATTGTTCTATTTCAGTCCATACATACTACACACAGGGCCGGCTTACTTGGGGGGACAAACGGTGCGACCGCCCCGGATCCACCTCCCAAATCAAATAATATTAAGGTAATTTTAGGGGGTAATTTTTTTTATCAATTATTAGAGGCTAAATTTATGTTTTTAGTAAATATTAGAGTCTAATTTTGTATTTTTTATCAACTATTAAGGGTCAAGAACTTTTTTTTGGCCCATAGACTATTAAAAATATTGAGTCAGCCTGACTATGCTGGCCATAAATAAAAAATAATGAATAAATGTAAGAATTTAGCTCAGATTTTTCTGTATTTACTATCCAACTAGGTATTTACCCGCGCTACGCTGCAGATATTTGTATAAATTTTGTATATATTTTTAATATAATAAAATTAGTTTTATAATGTAAATAAATATTATATATATTTTTATTAGCTTAAGTTATATATTTATATGTATTAAATCTGAATAAACATTATATTTTTAATTTTTAATTTTTTAAAATTATAATTTGCTATTAAATTTATTTAGCTAACTAATTATTAATGTATATGTAAGAATAAAACAATACACTTTTAGTACCTTTATGTTAATGGCAAATATAATCTATTTTCTCCAATAAATTACCACTTAATCCTCTTTGGTAATTATATAAAGCAAAATGTCATTTTAAAAAAAAGATTTATTAATTAATATGATTATCGAGAATTATAAAATTTATTTATTTATCAAATATTTATTATAAATATATGTTTCTAAAACTACTAAATTATAATCAAAAACATTCATATCAAAACCATTGTTATTGGTTTAGAACTAAATAGAAAATTATGTTTGAACTGTTGAAATATTGTTTTAGTTAAAGTTAAATAATTAAATTTTGGTTATTGTAAACATACTTTTACTTTGAAATTTAGCATAGAGAAATTTCATCTTCTTACAAAAACCGAGAAATCACATTTCCTGTCAAACAAAAAAAATTCATTTTCTCATGAAACTAAGAAATCGCATATTCCCGCCAAAACCTAAAATTTCATTTTCCCGTGAAAACTTGTGTGTTTTCCGCCGAAACTGAGAAATCACGTTTTTTCACTAAAACAAAAAAAATTATCTTCCTGCAAAAATAAAAAAATCGTATTTTCCCGTAAAAACCAAAAAATTATTTTCCTACAAAAACCGAAAAATCGTCTATTCCCGCCAAAACCAAAAAAAATTATTTTTTCGTCAAACCAAGAATCACGCTTTCCTACCAAAACAGATAAAGTACAATTTTCCGCGAAAACCAAAAATTGCTTTAACTCTCGAGAAATTATGTTTTCCCGAAAAAACTAAGAAATTGTATTTTTCCGCGAAAACCAAAAAATCACATTATTCGTCAAAAACTGAAAATTTGCATTTGCCATCTTAACTGAGAAATTGCTTATTCCCGCCAAAACCAAAAAATGTTGTTTTCCCATCAAACCGAAAAATTGCATTTTCCGCCAAATTATCAAATTGCAATTTTCCGTAAAAACTAATAAATCACATTTTTGCGTGAAAACCAAGAAATAGCATTATCCGTCAAAAATCAAAAATTTGCATTTACTAATGAAACTGAGAAATCGCATTTTTTGTCAAAATTGAAAAGTTGCATTTCCCATCAAAACCAAAAAATCACATTTTTCGTCAAAACCAAGATATTTTGTTTTCCCGTCAAAATCAAAAAAAATTTTGTTTTCTCTCCAAAACCAAAAATTAACATTTTCCCGCCAAACCTGAGAATTTATTTTTTCCGCCATAACCGAAAAATTATGTTTTGCTACCAAAAATGAAAATCACACATTATCCTACCAAAATCAAAAAAAATCCCCTATTCCCAGCAAAACAGAGAAAATTCCTATTCCTGCCAAAGCCAAAAAATTTTGTTTTCTCGTCAAAGCATAGTTGATGCTGAGTCTACACTTTTTGAATCATATTTGTTTCTGTCAAACAAACAGATAGCTAGAAAATTTTTATTACTATTTATTTGTTGTTATTTATTATTTGGGCTTGGGTTTGACAAAATATAAAACAAAGATTTATTTTTTTGTTGTTATTTATTATTTGAGTTTGAATTTGGTAAAAAATAAAATAAAGATTTTTTTATTTGCTGTTATTAATTATTTGGATTTTTGTTTGGTAAAAAATAAAACAAAGATTAATAGAAAAAGTATTTGGGGTTTTAATGGGTTTGTTTAAAATTTTAAATAAGTAGATGAGTTGTATTAATAAAATGTTTTGATTGGTGAATATTTTTGCTGAAATGTCATGTTTATAAAGCTTCAAAAAGCTGATGTGTCAAGCTATGGAGAGACATGAGTGTTATTGTTGTGTTGATTGCCTTCTGCCTTACTTATTCTATAGGATAAAAATAGTATTGACAAGGTACTAACAGAGACAACTTCTTATATTAAAGGTTTTAAGGATTATAGATCACATAAATTAAAGTTAGCTGTCAGGAGGTAAACGCTAATTAATGATTTGTGGTTAAGTTAGTAAAAGGTGGGGATAATCTGTAATTAATGATTTTCATTACATTAGAGGAATATGAAGTGACTAGGCAGGAGTTCGATCACTTCTCAATCTTAAAGGTCTCATAAGCGCAAAACACGAAAGCGGACAAGTTAGTACGAAGTGCTCGAAATCACCTTTATGATCCTTATAATAGAAGAATTGTTGAGGCTGTTAATAAAAAAAAAAAAGAAAAAAAAACTGTAAAAACTACCCTACGCGAGACATCTCATTACTACATATGTAGCTCCGTTTCCCACTCGCATGATGTAGAGGTAATTTTATCCGTTTTAAAAGTTTTGATTAGATTCTATATTTCCGATTTCATATGGCTATATCGTTAATTTGTAGGTCCAATATGGCTACTTTGCTAATTAACACAAGAAAGAATGGCAAAAGCGGGTGCATATTAATAAAATGCATCTCAACAGAAAAAAGTGAAATGGTCTAGTTTTACACAACTGCATAGAGAAATATCATAAAATTAACATTCAATTCAAAGAAGCATATTCTGTCAAAGATCCTATATACTTCTCAACACAAGTTCAAACCGGAACATTGGGAGACGCTGGATACTCTTCGTACCCTGTAATTCCTGTAATCTTAATCCTCGTATTTGGCTGCATCAACCAAGACAGACAATCACAATGAAGTGTCATTATTTACAGTTCCGCAGATCCATCGGCCGTACCAAAACATCATAATACTAATAGAGATATGTTCTGCAGAGTTCAGTTTCATGGAGGGACTTTCAGAAAACAGTAAGCAATTCATCAACGGAATATACCTGTCGGTGACCGATATTTCTACGGTACTTCTTCTTTGGCTTGTACTTGAAGACTACCACTTTATCATTCAGACCCTGCAGAAAAATCATGGTTTTGCCCAAGTCAGAGGTCGAAAAGACAACAGATCAGAAAATTAAGAAAGACTTTTTATTTAATTGACTTACTTGATTTTCCACTACAGCATGTACAGTTGCATTGGTCACCACCGGTTTGCCGATGTAAGTGTGTGTCTTTGTGCCCACAAGTAACACTTTGTTCAGAACAATCTGCACAAGAGGAGAAGCAACGATGAGAACTTCAGGAATCACCAAAAATCAACAGAGAACAAACCATCACTGTTAACATAGACTAAATTGTCTTCTTTCCTTTTGGTTTATTCATCTTCCATAGTTACATCATCCTTATCAAAATATATCACTTCACTTGAGGAGAACCAGATGAACTCAAGTACTTGAAATGAGTGTGCAAACCTGATCATTGACACTTGCATCTTTCAGCCTCTGAGTGTAGAGATATCTCCCTGGAAAAACTATGTATTGGCGTCCACCAACCTGTTCAATCATAGATAACACCAAAACTAGATCAGAGTTATCAAATGAGAAAAGGAAAACTCACTATACACACAATACACCTAAATCAAGCAAATTGAATACAAACGAACTCTCCAAAATAACCAAATGCTAAAGCTATAGTCCATAATGCGAAGGCTTTATAAGAAATCCAAACTGTTCTTTGATAAGCTATCACTTAGACACAAAACCAAAAAGCCTAAAACTAACTCTTTAGGAGCAAAATGCCACAAAACGCAGTCTCCCATGAACAATTATAAATCAAACGAAAACGAATTCAAAGAAAACTCATCCAAATCAAAATTTGATAAGCTCTCACTAAGACACAGAACCATAGCCCTTAACCTAACTCTTGAGCAAAATGCAACAACTCTAAATCAAACAATAAAAAGTCAAAGGAAACTCTCCAAATGCTAAAGCTACAGTCCTTATGAGAATGCTTCAAACAATAATGAGAATGCTTTATAAGAAAACCAAACTGTTCTTATTGATTAGATCTCACTAAGACACAAAACCACAAGGCCTAGAGCTAACTTTTAAGTCTTAAGAGCAAAAATGTCACAAAACACAGTCCCTCATGAACAATTCCAAATCATACAAAACGGATTCAAAGGAACCTCATCCAAATCAACCAAAACTTGTTGCGAATTTCAGAAGCTACAAATGGAAATTTGAGAATCGTTTTATGTTTATTCAGCAGCTCACCATAACAACAGCGAAAATCTCTTCTCGTTTAGGTTTGTCCTCCGCGACATCGGATACCACCGTAGCTTCAACATCAGTAGTCTCCTGTTCAGCCTCAAGGACTGATTCTGCGAATTTCGGCGCGACGGGGAATGCAGGCCGAGACGTTGACGCAGTGGAAGGAGAAAGGAACCCAGACACAGGCTTAGTTAGATTAAGAGAAGGTTTCGAGAGAGAACTGAGAATCACGCTTGAACGGCGAGAAGTGACATTGCAATGAGTAGAGAAAGCAGAGCAGAGAGAGAGCGTCACTGAGGAAGACGCCATGTTTTCGCCGAGAGCTCTAAGCTCAGAACTTTGAAGCTCGAGAGAAAATAAATCGCAGAGTTATCCTATCCACTTACCATCAATTTACGAAGATAACCTTGTCTTCTAATGGGTACGGTGTCATTTTGAAAGAAAAGATAACGCAAAGAGGAATGCAAAACAAAATAATTAAACCAAAACTGAACCGAAATATATTTAGAAAATGTTTGCTTTTATAATATTTTATAATCTGAAAAACCGAAACCGAAGTCATATCGGTTTTTTGTGTAACCGAACCAAACACACCAAAACTCAATTAAAATTTTATGTATTAAGCAATCATAATATATCATAAGTCATAATTTTCTAAGTTATTGATTTCTACAAATGTTGAATCAACCTAAAACCAAAAATCAAATCAAATTAAAACTAAATTACATTAATAAATAAAAAACCAAAAATTAAAGAAATCAAAAGTGAACCATAAACTAGATTGCTCAACCTTTTTATTATCTATACGATTTTGATTAATTTTGCCAAAATGAAATACATATTAGAAATGTTTGGAAGCATATTGCAGAATATTTATTAAGAGTATTTATCGTTTTGAATAAATTTCATTTTATGAATTCGGCCACTAGGGATAAGTAGTGTCTGAGTAATCGATTGTGTTCATTGTCTAAGACTTTAAGGAGGGTAAAAAAAAGTTTAAAATAAGTTTTCAAAAAAGTTTTCCATCTCGAAAATTCTCCAACACTGAAGTCAGATACATTTTACGGAAGATAGATTACATGGTAGAATACCACATTCGAAAATCATGATACTTATTTACTCTTTGGTGATGACCACAGAGGCCATACTATGGAAAGAGAGTGAAGGCACCTTCCTAGACATATCCTACAGAGTGGCCAACAAGAATGTATCCAAAGACTAATGTTGAAGGACGCCAGGCAAAAGTTCTTAAACATCCCTAATAAAGGCGATTTGGTCACGGAGAGATCCCTTGAAGGATCTCCGAACTTTCCTCTTCTTATTCCTGTGAAGTATATCTCTCTCTAGCTTCCACCATTTATCCGACCGACCGACGTTCGACTTATTTTCTTATGAGCTTTGAGGTCTTATTCATACTGCTTTTGGCGGGTTTCCCTATTGACTGTGCGTACTCTGCCGAGTAGGCCTACACCCTAGGGAGTTAGTCAACCACCCCAGCGCCAAATTCTTGTCATAACATGTAGTGTCTGCTATACCTCGTCTGAAGCCTTTCGGGGTAGGTTCGGTATGGTCCTGGTTAAGTAGTCCCCTTTGCTGATGTGAAGCCTTCTGATTGGCATTTAAGAAATTGGTCCCAACAATTGTTCACAACTGCATGTGTCCTCTTTGAGGAGACAGAGAGTCGAACCCTGATCGTTTCTATTTCTGTAAAACATATGCGAAATTCTATTTTATACACTAATGGTTTGGCGTGGGGCCAGGTTAGACGATACCTGTCTCAATTGACCGCGCATCCCTTGAGAGTACGAGCTGTGTAGGGACCAGTAATAAATCAGAAGAAGTTTCTGGAGAAACAAGTGACTTGCCTGCAAGGGAGCTCTCGCTTGAGGGATTTACTCGCAACGCTTTACTTGGCGCTAGACGATGAAGGCACCTTCCTCCCATATTGGCTTTATATGAGAGGTGTAGCCCCGACTGGCCATGGAAATCAAGATGAGACATTGGTGCTTTTGAAACACCTGCCCAAGAGCCCCGAGGGGTGCCTTAAGAGGGAGAAATGATTGTCCCCGTGCGCGGAGCACTAGCATGAGCGAGAGTAGTTGCTTTTGTGCAGCATGTGCATGCCAGCTTATGGCAAGTAGGGCGTTTCTCGGGGGCTTTACCCTGACTTCCAAACTGCCAGGACAGTCTTTGCGTTGTGCTTACTTTGCAAAAGATTGATATTTTGAAAAACGTGCATTTATCATCCCCGGAGGGAGCGATTGGATAAAGAGAAAAAGAAAAGAGTCGCTCCCGGAATAGGTAATCCCTGGTTCCTAGAGGAATAGTATTCCGGATAGCAAGCAAGTCCGTGGAGGAGCATGGTAAAGAAGCGCGACTATCCCCAAAGAGAGCTGGCGAAAGTTATGAGGCGAAGCTCCTGAAAGAGGCATTCTCCGATTCCCTAAATAATAGTACCCTAGAGAGCAATTAAGTCTGAGGAAGAGCATGCTAAAGAAACACAACCGTCCCTGGAGAGAGTTAATGAAGAGGAGGAAGAAAATACTAAGTTATGATCCGACTGAACACCTTGCTCGATAAATGACATATGCAATGACAGTGAGATATTTATGGATGTTAATGCGATGATTTCCTGAATGATATTGGTACGAGCGTATAAGTCGTGAGTGAAAAACACGATTGATGCCCTCAGAAGGTAATATATGCAAGCAAAGAAACACGGACCCCTAGAAGAATACATGACAAGCAGGTTTTTATGGCTGCTTAGTGCAATCTCGATGCACTAACTTATAGTATAGTGGCAAAGAGTATCAATCCATAATTTGGGAGGTGTAATAAAGATGCAGCAATCTCGCTGAGCTAGGCTAATAAGGGGTTTAAAGGAGGTTCACACTCAAAAACAATCAAGTGCAAACAAGTGACAAATGAAACCAAGACATAAACACTATAAACAATTGATTTAAAACTAAGCAAGAGTAATATGATGATCAAACAAAACAGAGCAAAACAGAGTTATGACTTAACAAATTCGAAATACTAAAAGCAAGGTTCAAAACTAAGGCAATGTGACTTAGGTGGTTTCAAATCATGTTTAAGGTGTGAAAGAAACAATCAATACATTAATCTCTATGCAAGGACCACTAATATAGACTAATCTAATATTTTAGCACTAATCCCTTTCACTAATCATATCCCTAACTCACAGTCAATGGTGAAAATACAATCAACAAGCATTAAATAACAAAGTTCATAGAACCAAAAACCAACTTAGACAACTAATCCCTTAGACTAAGATCACTAATCTCTTATGAAATAGATGAAACATCAACTCACACTCTCATGCATTATCAATGTCTAATGACAATTTCTCTATCACTAAAGTACTCTATCATTAAGCTCAATCATGTATGAAATGATAGATACAAAGAGTCATGACGATCAAAATATCATTTTCAAGCAATGAAACTTATTCAAACATTTCATCAAACACCTAAGTGGCAATAAAACATCTAGGGTCTATTTCAGCCAAAAGGGAGATACTTGACATTAAGAACAATCACACAAGAATATATAATCAAAGATCTAACATCCTAACACCCTAAACAATCATTGAAACCACCCTAATCTACTTTAATCTCAAATCTAAAGTAGTGACTACTCACTAATCATGTTTAAATCTACAAAAATATGATTAAAAATGATTATTAGTATATAAGCAAGAAAGATAAATAGGAAAATGCAAAATTTTTTAAATTATAAATCTCAAAATCTAAGCTTTTTTCTTATGGAAAAGGAAGGTTTTGCAACAAAGGAACGCTTAAAGTAGATAAAGGATAAGATAAAGCATAATCATAAGATGTTTTTAGGCCAAGCCTATTTATAAGAGAGACCCAAATAGGTTTAGTCAACTAAAGAAAACCTAGTCAAAAGATGGTCAACACTCGGATTTTTAATATCGAGTAGGGTAAAAATATGCTCTCCATAGTATGCCTGCTTACTGCGTTCGTAAGATGCTGCCTCAGATCCTTGGCTCGGCTGAAGACTCGATCGCGGTACGTATCATGTAGTGCTTGGTTGGCTCTCCTCGGTACACCTCCATGATATGTCATGTGTCTTCATGCATCAGGCTCGGTTAGCTGAATTTCCATGGTGTTTCTGCTCAGTACAGCCTTTGATCCAGCATGTCGGTCACCGCCTCTTAAATATAGCACGCACCGGACATAATGGAAGGTGCCCTCCACGATATGCTTCCATGGTATGAGTTCTGAACGGTTTTTAATGCTTGATTCCAGCTTGGTTTCCCTTCTCCACTCGATCCACTATTCTCCTAATGTCCCCAGCTCCTCAAAAACCCTGAAATACACTCACAATGCAAGAATGTATGCATTCCTAAACCCAATACATACTTTGTCTAATATGGGTGCAAATGGGAGATATTAGACCTAAAATGGATGAAATAAAGTGGAAATCTATACTAAATGAAGTCTAATATGATGAAATAATACATGCTATCAATGCACACAAAATATGTCCCTGAATGAATAATACAAGCAAGCAAACAAAAAAACAAGAACCCTAAAGGGAGTACACACGAAACATGTCTCCGGAAGGGTAATATAAGCAAACAAGTAAATAAACAAGAACCCCGAGGAGAGTACACATGAAATATGTCTCCCAAAAGATAATGCAAGCAAACAAGTAAGGAAACAAAAACCCCAAGAGAAATGCACATGAAATATATCCATAGAAGGGTAATGCAAGCAAGTAAGCAAACAAAAAAGAACTTCGAGGGGAATACACACAAAATATATCTTTGCAAGGGTAATGCAAGAAAGCAAGCAAAGAAACAAGAGCCCTGAGGTGAATGCATATGAAATATGTCTCCAGAAGGGTAATGCAAGCAAGCAAGCAAAAAAACAAGAACCCAATGGGAATGCACATGTAATATGTTCTGGAAGGGTAATGTAAGCAGGCAAGCAAATCAACAAGAACCCCGAGCGGAATGCACACGAAATATGTCCTTGGAAGTGTAATGCAAGAATGCAAGCAAAGAAACAAAAATCCTAAGGGGAATGTACACAAAATGTGTCATCAGAAGGATAATGCAAGCATAAGGATAAGGTTTACTGGTCATACCATCGCTCTCTTTGGCAGGCTATTTGTTCATTTGGATAATTATTTGTGCCACGAGTGACCTTTCCCATACCTCGGGCTTCCCTCCAATCGGAGTCGTTTCTCTCTTGCAAGACCTACCTGGCGCTTCTGGAACGAGTGATGTAATTTTGGGTTTTGCCTACACTTCCGTCCATCAATATGGACAACCACATGACGAAATTTTGTTTTGCTGGTGGAATGGAGAGTTACATCTCAAGATTTCTTTGCTTCGTGTTCCACCACTGACCCGCCGTTTTGCTTTTCACCATTTGTATGAGTCTCGCCTTTCTCTTCATAACGTGTATTTTTGATGCGTGGTTCGAGGAAGCGTTCA